CCCCGTGGTGGCGATGGCCAGGGGCGACGCGTTCATCACGAAGCGGAGCATCTGCGACTTGCCGCACGAAGGGTCGCCCACGAGGAGGACGTTGATGTCGCCGCGCAGGTGCGTCCCGTTCTTCAGGTTCCGCTCCGTGCCGCCGATCATCTGCAGCAGCAGGCCCTCCTTGACGGTGTCGTGGCCGCAGATGGCCGGGGCGAAGGAGCGCGCCAGGAGCCTCGGCGGCGGCCACGCCGGGGCTGCGTCGCGACAGGGGCGGCCTGCTGGGGAGGCGGCGGGGCGTCTCCTCTGAAAGGCAGGGGCCTCCGCTCGGCAGGCTCCTCGGGAGCCGGGCGAGTGGCCGAGGAGCCCCCTGCTTAGAGGCTGGCGCTTCTTATTTTGGTTAAGCTTATCGGTACGTACCTCAAGTAACTTAGCCTACTTACCGTTGCTACTTCGCTGTACTTACTAAGTTACTTACCAAGTTCCTTAGGGTGGCATAGCACGAGAAGCTCCAGCCTCTAAGTAGCCTGCTTCGAAGCACCGCCGCCCTGCCCCCGGAAGGCCGGCCCCCTCGCGGCGCCCTCTGGAAGGCGCCGCCAGGAGCCTGAACGCGTCGGGGCGGGCCCCGACCGATTTGATGTTCGTCATGTCCGTGTACACGAAGGGCGCCTCGGTGAGCTCCCTGACGGCCGTGATGCTGGTCGCGATGATCATCGCCGGGAAGATGCCGCTGGTGTAGTCTGTGGCCGGCGGCGGGAAGGAGCGGTAGACGCCCACGACCTGGGCGCAGGAGGGAGGGAGGGAGGAGGTGCAAGAGGCAGGAGGCAGGTGGCAGGAGGCACGAGACGGGAGGGGGGCGGGTGGAGCGAGGGAGGGGAAGGAGGGAAAAGTGGGGAGGCAGGAGGGAGAACGAGGGGTAGGGCGGTTGGAGGAAGGAGGAGGCACGGGGGCAGCGGGCAGGGGGGCGGAAGAGCCTGAGGGAGGAAGGAGGTACGAACAAGTCAACTACACACCACCATGCCAGGGCCATCCTGGGCCCCGGCATGGTGCCCAAGCCCTTGTTGCCAAGACCAGCAGGCCAATACACCGTCCTGGGAATCAGGATGGCTCTGGCCAGGCATGGTGGTGGTTTACGTGTAGCTATACAGGGAGACGGCAGAAAGGACGGAGCAGTTCTTCGAGCCCAGACCTGGACGCGGTCACCAGGCTTCGCCTGGCGCGGCCGCCCACACACTGCCGCTGCCCCAGCCATCCCTCCCCGTTTCCCCCCCACTCCGTAGCCCCTCCCTCGTCGGCATCGCCCTCGTCATCGTGGGCCTCCTCCACCACGACATCATCATCACCACCACCACCACCACCACCACCACCACCACCACCACCACCACCATCATCATCATCATCATCATCATCATCATCATCATCATCATCATCATCATCATCATCATCATCATCATCATCATCATCATCATCATCATCATCATCATCATCATCATCATCATCATCATCATCATCATCATCATCATCATCATCATCATCATCATCATCATCATCATCATCATCATCATCATCATCATCATCATCATCATCATCATCATCATCATCATCATCATCATCATCATCATCATCATCATCATCATCATCATCATCATCATCATCATCATCATCATCATCATCATCATCATCATCATCATCATCATCATCATCATCATCATCATCATCATCATCATCATCATCATCATCATCATCATCATCATCATCATCATCATCATCATCATCATCATCATCATCATCATCATCATCATCATCATCATCATCATCATCATCATCATCATCATCATCATCATCATCATCATCATCATCATCATCACCATCATCATCATCATCATCATCATCATCATCAACAACAGCATCATCATCATCACCAGAAGCATCATCACCATCACCATCACCATCATCACACTCATCATCATCGCCCTCATCATCATCAGCGTCATCATCATCATCGTCATCACCATCAACATCGTCATCATTTCATATTCAGGCTCATCATCATCGACATCATCACCGTCATCATCAGCACCATAATCAGCATCATCAGTCGCATCATCATAACCGGTATCATCCTCAGCATCAACAGCAGCATCATCATGATCGTCATCAGCAGCAGCAGCATTATCATCCTCAGCATCAGCAGCAGCATCATCATGATCATCATAAGCAGCAGCAGCAGCACCAGCAGCAGCATCAGCAGCAGCAGAACCAACATCACCAACATATTATCACCGTCACAAGCAGCGCCGTCATTACCGCCATCCTCAACATCTCCGCCATCATCATCTTCATCATCGGTATAATCAGCATCACCATGGTCGTCTTCATCATCACCCTTATCATTCACCGCATCACGAATTACAACAACATCACAATCGTCCGCACCATCATTAACAGCAGCATAGTCAGCATCATCGCCATAATCGGCACCGCTACCATCGTCATCCTCATCATCATCATCATCATCATCATCATCATCATCATCATCATCATCATCGTCGTCGTCGTCGTCGTCGTTGTCGTCATCACCATCATCATGATCATCACTGGATGAATCATCACCATGCTGATTACCACCATCATCAGCAGCAGCATCCTAATCACAAAGAGGCGAGCGACGCCCCGCTCTCGCCAGACACCTGTCACTTGAGGGAAGAAGGCGTTATGAGAAGTAGCCGCGGGCATTTGGCAGCTTCACAGAACCAACGGGGATGGCACGCGGCCACGCCAAATTGAGGACGATGATGATGATGATGATGACGATGATGATTATGGTGATGATGATGGCAATGACGATGGTGATGGTGATGGTGGTGAGAATCATGAAGATGATGATGAGGACGACGACGAGGATGTTTTTTCCTCCAGCGGCTAGAAAGGCAGTCCTCGCGGGAGCGCTCACCGGCGCTTGCAGCATGCAGACAGTGCGAGGCCCCGAGAGAAGGCGCCCGCCGCGAAACGCCGCGTGCAGCGGGGCCATCCGAGGCTCCGTACGGGCGCCCACAGTTCCAGGCTCTAAGACAGCTCTACCCCTCCGCATTTGCGCGCAGATGCGCGGGCGCGGACTGGCACGCGCGCCACCCCCCGACGCTCTCGAGCGGCGGAGCAGAAGCCTCACTCGCCGGCGACGGCGTCCCGCAACTCCTTGGCGACCTGGTTGGCGTGCCCGCCGTGGTGGTGAAGGGCCTGAGCCACCCGCTCCGCGCCCGCCTGCGGGAACCTCTCGCCAAGGCGCTCGGCCCGCTCCCTCCAGTCCTCGCGCAGCGGCATGCAGGGTCTCGGGGCGGCGGCCGGCGCCTTCTGCTTGGGCGGCGGGGCTGACACCTCCTCCTCCGCCGCCGCGACCTCGGGCTCGGCGGGCGGCTCGGGGTCCGCGGGCGCGGCGGTCGGCTCGGGGGCCGCGGGCGCCGGGGCCGACGGCGCCTCCGCCCTCGTGGGTTCCTGGCCGCCCTCCGCCCGCGCCAGCTCGCGCGGCTCACGGGAGCTGCCGTGGACCTTCTCGAACAACATGTGCCCACTGTTGCCGCAGAGTGGCAGCCAACCGTCTGCGGTGCGGACCCCATACTCGAAGGCCTGAACAATCTCGCCCCGCTGGACGGTCGTCTCCAAGCGGTCCTGATAGTCCGCCGAGGCGCGGTACCGGACGCCGTCAGACGAACGCGCCCCCGGCGCTATGCTCGCGGGCGCGGCGGTCGCCGCGCCGCGGCCGCTCGCCGTTGGGAGAGGCCCAGTCGTCCTCGGGCTTCTCCATGCGTTTCTTCTTGTCGCGGCGGACCACCACGTCGAAGAAGACGTGCCGCAGGAACGTCTCCAAGAAAATTCTTGAATTCCTTCTCGTTCAGGACCCCGTCGCGGTTGGCGCCGTTAGCGTCGAAGAACGCTCGGATGGAGCCCTCCCGCGGCGCCTGCAAGCCGAAGTTCTGGCAGAGAACCGTCGTCAACGTGACCGTCTCGGCCAGGTCGAGCACCCCGTCCCCGTTTTCCTCGAACTTCATCGCCTTGGTGGGGGCGCCGGGTGGGCACCATTGCAGACGGGTGGGCACCATTGCGAGCCCCAGACGAGGAGGAAGGAGGAGCACAGTGCGGGCCCCACTTCCTGAACTCCTCCTTGCAGGCCTGGCCGAACATGAGGGGGCTGCTCAGCAGCGTCTTCACGTGCTCGGCGTCGTCGGGGTCGACGGGCCCGAGGTCGGTGCCCGTCGGGTCGCGGGGTGCGGCGGCCGTCTGCCCGGCGTGGCCGTCGTGCCGTCGCAGGACTTCCGGCACCTTGGCCGGCGGAAAACTCTGGAGACGCTCGCACAGCCTCAGGTGCGCCTCCCGCCACTGCTCCTCCTCGGGTTCCAGCTGCGCCATGATCGCCGCAGGGGGGGGCCCGCAGGCCAAATGCCTGAGCCAAAGTGGCTACGGATGCTGACGACGACGACAACGACGACGACGACGACGACGACGACGACGACGACGAGGACGACGAGGAGGAGGAGGAGGAGGAGAATGGTGAAAATGATGATATTGGTGATGGTGATGATTATAGTGGTGGTGGTGGTAATATAATGGTGATGTTGCTGCTGATGATGATGGAGCTACAGCGGCGTCCCTCTCTTGACGACGTGGGCCACTGAGCCATGGCACAGCTCAACAGCCTGAGGATGACGAGCGCCGCGACGAAGCCCCACAGCAACGAATCGGCACGCACTGCCGCACTCAGAGCGGAGTCCCAGCGGCGCGGGGCTGAACCCCGCGACGTGCCTGCCGGCTCCCCGGGCTGTCGGCCTCAAGGCAGAGACGAAGGCAGGTCCTCGCCGGCGCTGCCAAAAATGCGCCCCCGGCACGGCGCGAGCCGCACAAAGCCCCGAAAGCGCGCCTGCGCCGCCTCGGCCTCCCGAGGCCCTCCGGATCACCACCTCTCGCGCGCGGAACTCGCGCCGCCCGGCTGTCTCCCACGGGCGGCCCATGCGAGGCCCGCGCGCTCAGCCTCGACCCAGGCCGGGCATGTCCTCCCACAGGCGGATGTCGGACGAAAGATGCAAACAGAGTCAAAAAACAAAAACAATAAACAAAAAAGCTCAAAGAGCGCGAAAAATACTCACCTGACTATTTGATTTACCATTCTTGAAACTTCCTCCAGTAGAGGGACATGTCCGACTGAAGCTTCGACGGCCCGCGCCTCCGTTTCACCGACGCGTTCTGGGATGCCGCGCGCCGGCCGCCAATGGAGCAGCCCGTGGGAGCTCCCCGTGCGAGAAGGGGCCGCAGAGGGACACACGAGTTAGTTGAAAATAAAAATGCCGGCACAAACATGAACTTTTGGCGCTCCGCGCGGAGTTCTTCGATCCGCGCTGGGCCCTCCTTCCTGGCGCGCGGAGCGCGCCCGGGGCGACGGCGCCGCCGGGGGGTCCCGGCGCGGATCCAAGAAATCCGCGCGGAGTGCGAAAAGTTTATGTTTATGCCGATGTGTTTTCGACTGGTACTGCGCGTCATCATATCACTAACAGAAACAATGGTCGAGCGAAGAGTGGTCGCGCACAAGATGCACACAAGACGACTTGTTGCAGGAGAGCGAAGAAAGAGAGAACGCGAATCGACGTCCAGAGACCCAATACAAGAGCCCACACAAGACCGCACAGACATCCCGCACAAGACCTCGCACAAGACCTCTAGGACCACTCTTCCTGTTAAAGACCATCTCCTGAAAAGCGTGCGCCTGACCCGAACAATTGGCACAAACGTCCTGCAGCGTATACCGTCACCCGAGCGGGGCGCCCAGAGAGCACCCGCCACGTGGCTTATAAAATAAGAGCTCTCGGCGCACTCGTCGCCCCCGAGGGGGCAGCGCACACATAGTGTTCGCACCTTGCGGTGACGCCGCAAAGGGAGGGGGGCGCCAGGACTTGCGGGTGGCTCCCGCGCGCCTTGTCGGCCAGCTCGCCCTCGCAGATCACCTCCACGCTCTTGGGGACCTGCCCCCGGGGCATGCTCTCCGGCGCCTCCTGGACCGTGAACTTCTGGCTGTTCTTGTACACGCTGAGCCTCGGTGTGGCCAAGCTGACACCCAAGGGCGCCCGATCAGACGCGCGCCAGGTGCAGGCCAGCCAGTCTCCTCCACCCCTCCTCCTTACAGAGAACCCCCTGTCGCACCACCAGACGTGTCCATAGGCTAGGCTGGGCGTTTCGCTTGAGACTCCCCTACGACCTACAATCCAACAGTGACAAATTCGGTTCGAAAATGCGGCTCTCGCTGCTCACCTTACCGCCCAGCATATCGCTTGGAAGACTTGAAAGTTAATGGTGGAGGCCAGCTCGCTTTTCAAATGCGGCTCTCGCAGCAGCACCGCAGCAGAACAGATGGGACGCACGTATGGATTGTTTTACCTCTGTGGCGACACAGGCATGGTACAGACGCAAAATAAGTCAATGTGAAATTATCCTAGGAGGCAACTACTGGGAGGTCTTCGCCAGAAGGACTAAGGAGAATTAAGTCCCATTGGGGGGCTGTTACGCCAGTGGGCCTCGGATTAAGCAGGGTTAAGCCGGATTAAGCGGGATTAAGATTAAGCGGGATGAAGCCGGATTCAGCGGGATAAAGCCGGATTGAGCCAGATTTCGGACCAGGGCAAGATCAGGATTTGACCTCCCGGGGGTTGCATCCGAAGTTATCCTCCCACGGCACGGCACAGTCTAGAACTTCGGCACGCGGGCAGCACGCCTTCCGCACTCTTGAACTCCGGGAAGGCACTGCAAGACGCGGCACGGCGCGCAGCACGGCACGGCACGCGGGCGGCACACTCTCTCCACGACTGTCCGGAACTTCGGCGGGCCACGGCACGACACGGCGCGCGTGCGGCACACTCCGCGGGCGGGACATCCTTCGCACTCGACAAGGACGGCACGGCACGGCACGGCCCACGGGCGGCACCGCTTTCGCGCTCTGCCATCGGCACGGCACGGCGCTGCACGCAGGCGGCACAACTTTCGTTCTCTACAGCTTCGGCACGGCACGGCACGGCATGAAGGCGGCACATCTCTCGCATTCTAGAACCTACAAGCTAGTTCTCACAATACGCATGGGACCCCTACCGCATCCGTAAACAGATGGGATCCCTGCTCTGTGGGAGGGAGTACCCGTCCCCCAATCCCACCAGCCCTTTAGGGCGTAGGTGGTCCAGGGTGTTTTGTCTTCTTCCATCTGCCTCTCTTCTCCTTCGGTGATTTATCACTGTTCCTTATTAATATACACCCCCTCCCCCAGGCGACTTGGGGCCAACCCGAAACCATGCCGACACCATGCCGACACCATGACGACCCGCCCCCCACCATCCCTGTCAAAAAACGATACTATACAAACCGCAGTCTGCCTCCACATTTGGAACATACGCGGCCAACCCGATGCGGCCCCCCCCACCATCCCTGTCAAAAAACACTGGAAAGTACACTTTGGGGCAAAGTCTCGAGAAATGTTCGTGAGGCCCGGGAGCACTTTGTTTTTGACAAAGACGGCGAGGATGTCAGCATATTCCCTGCTGTGCGCAGGGCTACCATCCCTGACGAAAAAATACAACATGCACGTCGCGGCTAAATCTAGATCATGCGCGGCCATCCCGCGATCACTGTCAAGTGGTTTTTGACAGGGACGGCGGGGGTGGTGGCGCGTGGCCTGCTGTGCGCAGGCCCACCAGACAGAATCATGGGCATCGGTTTTCGACAAGGCTGGTGGGGGCCGACATGTTTCTCGATGTGTGCTGTCACGTGCGCAAGCGCACCTCACGCACTCTGCACGTGCCCCGAACGCGGCGCACCTGGCGCGGCTGGAGTGTGCGGCACACCTGGCGCACTCGGAGCACGTGGCGCATCTGACGCACCAGGCGTGCCTGGCACGCTCGGGCTCCAGGGGTGCCTGGCGCGCGTGGCGCCCCTGGCACGCGTGGCGCACCTCGCTCAAGCGTCGCGCACCTGGGGTCGGCTTTGGTTCCCAGTAGCTGTCCATCCAAAGACGACCGCTGAACATGCTCAGGCTCGGGTGTTACTTGAGAGTAGGGAGGGCGGGTGGGAGTGAGCTAGACGGCTTGCGGGCGGGTGGATAGCTTGACCCCTCCCCCTAATTACCCCCTCCCCTGGACCTGGACGGGTCCGGTCGCGAAGCGTCAGGGCGTCCAAAACGGCCTCGGCGAGGAAGCAAAGATGATTGGTTTCACTAAAAGGTTTTGGCCCCATTTTGGCCTCTTGGGGGGAGAGCGCTAATTCAAGCTCCCCTCTTGTTTGATCGATGTCCTCCAAGATGGCCCCAAGAGCGCTCCCAAGGCTCCCCAGAGCGCTTCAAGAGGAAGCCAAGAGGCGCCGAGGAGGCCCCAGGATGTCCCAAGAGGCGCTCAAGAGGCGCTCAAGAGGCCTCCAAGAGGCGCCCAAGAGACCCCCAAGAGGCCCCAAGAAGCTCGCCAAGGCACCCAAGACGCTCCAAGAGGCTTCCGGGACCGCCAAGAGGCCCCCAAGACGCTCCAAGAGGCCTCCACTGGGGGACCCTTCCTCTACCTGCTGCCCACTTCCCTGATCGGGGCAGCTCCTCTGGGCATCGTTTCTGGATGGGCTGGTGGGGTTAAGCGAAGCGTCTAGAATTGTTTGTTGATGGCACCCAGTATGGCCCCAAGAGGGTCTGACTTGCGGGGCGTCACGTTGGCCAATGTGAGCGCTGCTTGGGCTACTTCACTTCAGTGTGACGGGTGTTCCCCCTACTTGCTTCATTCGTGCTTCTGCACTTCCCCTTCTCAAGGCAACTCGCCTGGGAAACGTGGCTGGAAGTGTGTGTGAAGATGTGCCACGCGTGTCAACAATTGCCAGGGCTCCAGACATGGTCAAATCGACATTAAAATCTTGGCAACTTAGTGATCGGAACGCTATCGACGCTCCGCCACGGAAAGATACGACGTGCCCCAGGGATGGATATGCTGCTGACGCCGGGTCAAGCCATGGCCAGCGCCCAGTTGCTTGGACAACAGAACAATGCCGGAAAATGCTAGCTGCGCCTCATCTCGGCTGTAGTCGTGACGCCCCTTACGCTGCCTCAAGCTTCAAGCTTCTGAGCGGCCATGGAGCGCATCATTGCGAACATTTGGAACGGGAACTCCCAAGGAGGCTGGTTTACCCAATGGTGGTCCTCCACCTTCTGACCGGGGGCAACCAGTCCAGCAAACTTGATTCCCTCCAGGTCGGAGGCCGCGATCCCCAAGTGTTCGAGCAGCCGTAGCTCGCGGTATACGTCCGCCAAGAACCACCTGCCATGGCCGCCACAGCCATGCGCCATGATGGGCCGCTCACCTGTCAGGCAGTTCCGGATGCGCGGCACTGGCAGATCAGGCTCGAAGTCCCAGCCGCACTCCTGCTCGCCCATGCCCTGGAAGACACTGCATTCGGAATCGATGATGAGCGGGTAGTGGCTACCCTGGCTGGCGCAGCCCAGCAGAAACTCCTGCACGCGCAGCTGGTCATCGTCGCTCTCCGAAAAAGTCCCCCCCTCCGTGCCATGGACCAGCGAGTGCATGAAGGCCCTCAGCGCCTCGGCGGTGCCCGCGAAGCCGCCAGAGTTGGGGTATCGCCAAGGCGTCTGGATATCCGGGAACAGGCGCTCCATCTGCGGTGCCAACTTGTACTCTGGCGCGCAAATCCTGTCCGAGCAGCAGAGCACCGTGCCCCCCCGCAGAGCGCCCAGCGAGCCGAGCTTGTCCCGCAGCTCCGTGGCCGGGCCCAGCAGCACCGTGTCCCACGCGTCGAGGATCAGCACCGGGTCCTTCGGAGCGATGGCCTGCCCCACGAGCTCCTTGAGCGCCCTGTCGTAGGTGATCAGCTTGGTCCCCACCCCCACCCAGGGCCCCCCGACCCCCAAGGCGCGGAACGTGAAGCCGTTGGCCACGGCGCTGCGTTCCTCGGGCGGGCGGCAGTGGGAGGTGACCCAAGAGTACACGCGAGGGGCGCAGGCGAGGGCCCCTTCGGGGGCCCTGCGTCCTTCACTGAGGCGAAGCCCGGAGGAAGAGTTCGGGCGAGGATAGAGCGGGAATCTCTGAGATCTGGCGGTTCTGGAGGAAGTCTCGGGCGCCGCGGCCTTCTCAGAGCGCTCCAGGAACGCCCTGAGAGCGTTCCGGAACGCTCTGGAGCGGATTCGTCCTCGTCCTGGCCCCGTCCGATCCACCCCCAGGCAGGCCACCCCCCCATGACCACCCTCGGGGGCGTCCAAGAGGGGGGCGTTCAAGAGGGGGGGCGCAAATCATGGCCGGCGGCACGTACGCGGCCCACGGGGGTCATGAAATAAGAAGAGCCGCCATGAGGTCTGGGGAGCTACCGTGGCCCCCGCCATGAGATTCACAAGCCCCCAAGCCATCGCCCACTCTTTGCCGCCCCCGACGCCCGCCCGAGCTCCAGCACGACGGTCTCCTGCCGGTACTCGTTGCACGCCGTCAGCACGTGCACGGCCGGCCCCGGGCCCGCCGCCCCGCTGGCGGCGCGGGCCGCCGCCCGCCCCGAGGGCCCTCGGCCGCAGGGCGCCCGAGAGCCGGCGCCCGCCCAGCGCCGCGGCGGGGCCGCCTGCGCGCGGGCGCCCCCGCGCAGCGAGCAGGCGAGGGCGGCGCCGGCGGCCGCGACGGCCGCCGCCATGCAGAGGCCCGGCACGCGGCGCGGGCGCGCGGCGTCCGCCCGCCGCGCCGGCGAGGGCCCGCGCCATCGCGGCACCATGTCGAACCGAGACGGCTGCCGAGGCCGAGTCCGCCGGGCAATCGGGCGTCGGCGGCTCGGGCGCTCGAGGTGCGAGTCGTGCGGGCGGGATCGTCCGTGCTCGGCGGCCTGGCCGCCTCGGGATGCTTGCTATAGCAGCTGCGCCGCGCCCAGAACGCTCGCTCCCGGATCGTCCCAACCGGCCACCAGAGACCCGAGCTGCGGCCCAGGAGCCAAAAAAGGGCGGCGCGCCCGGGGGGGCAGTGCGAAGGAGAGGGGTTCTGGAGAAGGCGGCGGGGCTTCTCGGACCCCCCCCTTGCCATCTGAGAAATGTCCCGCGCCTTCGGGAAGGCCCCGGAAATTTCCCAAAGGCCACAGGCCCTCCCAGCCTCCTCGGCTACACGCCAGGGCCACCGACCCTGGGCGCGAGCGACCTCTGGTGCCAGGCTTCATGGGGGCCGCGGGGGGGCCGAATGCGAGCGCGCAGGACGCCACCGTCGCATCGCGCCCGGCGGTCGGGGGGCCCCGGCGGGCCCGCACCAAAGGCTACTCCGGCGAGGGGTCGCTCTCACGCGCAGCCGACCTTCGGAGAGGGCCCGCCCCTGCCCGCTCCCCCCCCGGGCGCGCCGCCGACTGGCGGCTCGGGAGGACGGGGAAGGCCGGCCCCTCGCCACGCTGGGCCACTCTGGGCCTCTGGAGAGGCCGGCGTCGGGCCCCGCGGCCATCAGACACCGCCTCGCGGTTAAAATTTAGGTCGGGCATGTCCCCCTACAGGCGGGTTTTGGACGAAAAATCAAAATTATCCCAGCGCGACCCTACCTAAGAGTTGGAACATCTAGGAAAGCAACATCTACATCTACACTGACAGTTACTTCAACATATACACCTGCGTCTACATCTACATCAACATCAACAGCGAGACTGACATCTACATCTACATCTACACCTACATCTACGCCTCAATATACATCTACATCTACACCTGCATCTACATTCACATCTACATCTACACCTACATCTACATCTACAAATACACCGTCGCATCGGTTGTGATTTTGCTTTGCGTTGCCTTGCCTTTGTTTTTGTTGTTGCTTTTGCTGTTGTTTTTGCCTCGCTTTTGTTTTTGTTGTTGCTTGATTTTGTTTTTGCGTTGCCTGCGCACAGACACACACACACACGCACGTTCTCGCATTCGCTCACCGGGTGTGCTTGAGAATGCTCCGTATCCGGTCTACGCCGCACGACTTGGCATTGAGCAAGGTTGTGCAACACTTGCTACACCGAACGTTCCTACGAAATTGTACAGCAGCAACTCCCAGATCGGTGCATCATCGGCGCTGGAATATGCGGTTTCACCAGAGTGGTGTGACCACAACCTCCCCGCTGTCGTGGAGTCGCCGGAGCCACTCTTGGCGAGCAGGGACTGTGTGGAATAACCAGTAGTACACGTATCGCCGTGACTGGTTCCCCTTCCGCAACTCGCAGATTTTGTAGCAGAAACGCTGCAAGTTAACAATCGGCCGTCGCATGCTATGCTGCGCTATGCTATGCTATGCTATGATATGATATGCTATGCTATGCTGCGCTATGTTGCGCTATGCTAAGCAATGCTATGATATGGTATGCTGCGTTATGCTATGCTATGCTATGATATGTTATGATGCGCTATGACATGATATGATATGCTATGATGCGCTATGCTATGCTATGATATGCTATGCTGCGCTATGCTATGTTATGTTATGCTATGATGCGCTGTGTTATGGTAAACTATGGCATGATGTGTTATGCTATGCTATGCTGCGCTATGCTATGCAATGTTATGCTATGATATGCTGTGCTGCGCTATGCTATGCTGCGCTATGATATGCTATGCTATACTATGCAATAATATGCTATGCTATGCTATGCGATGTTATGATAATGCTGCGCTGCGCTAAGCTAAGCTAAGCTGAGCTAAACTACGCCAAGCTAAGCTAAGCTAAGCTAAGCTAAGCTGGGCTAGGCTAAGCTAAGTTAAGCTCAGCTAAGCTAAGCTAGGCTAGGCTAGGCTAAGCTAAGATGGGATAAGCAACGCTAAGCTAAGGGGACGTAACTGGGGGAACCGCGGGGCGGATACTGGGGGAACCGCCCAGGGCGCTTTCCACTGCCCGGCCCCTTTAAGCCCAGAGAGTATGAACCCTTCTAGGCAGAGCCTAGGTAGAGGAATACCCCATAATTACAACAAAAATCATCCAAATCAATTCTCAAATTATCCCAGTGCGACCCTACCTAGGAGTTGGAACCCCTAGGAAAGCAGCATTAGTAGTAACAGTAACGCTAAGCTAAAGCTAAGCTAAAGCTAAGCTAAAGCTAAGCTAAAGCTAAGCTACAGCTAAGCTAAAGCTAAGCTAAAGCTAAGCTAAAGCTAAGCTAAAACTAAGCCCAAGCTAAGCTCAAGCTAAGCTAAAGCTGAGCAACAGCTAAGCTAAAGCTAAGCTAAAGCTAAGCCCAAGCTAAGCTAAAGCTAAGCTAAAGCTAAGCTAAAGCTAAGCCCAAGCTAAGCTAAAGCTAAGCTAACGCTAAGCTAAAGCTGAGCTACAGCTAAGCTCAAGCTAAGCTCAAGCTAAGCTAAAGCTAAGCTAAAGTTAAGCTAAAGCGAAGCTAAACGCTAAGCGACAAGCTAAGCGAAATGCTAAGCTAAAGCTAAGCTAAAGCTAAGCTACAGCTAAGCTCAAGCTAAGCTCAAGCTAAAGCTAAAGCTAAAGCTAAAGCTCCCAGGGGACTGGGGGGAACCGCTCCCAGGGGACTGGGGGATCCGCCCGGGGCGCTTTGCACTGCCTGGCCCCTTTAAGCTAAGAGAGTAAGAACCCTTCTAGACAGAGCCTAGGTAGGGAACAAATCGTCCACAGACTATGTTTTGACTAGTTTTGAATATTCCTCCTGTAGAGGGACATGCCCGACTTAAGGTTGACAGCCACCACGGGAAGGGGTCGAGAGGCCCTGGGGCCCACATGTCGGCAAAACGCAGCCGCAGGACGTCTGGGGAGACGGCAAGGCATGCTCGCGCGGAGAGGCGGAAAGGGTTCCCACGCACGAGGACGCAGCGACCTCGCGCGATGGCCTGCGCGGGCCGCCTCTGCGGCACACCGCGCGGACGCGGAGAAGAGTGCGCTTGGGCGCCAGTGGACAGCTGACGTGCGAGCGTCCGCGCAGTCGACCCCTCGTCCTACTCGTCGCTGACCAGACCGTCGACGCATGCTGCACTTCCCCGATCACGGCAACCCGCCCAGGCATCGTTTCTGGACGGGCGGGCGGGGATACTTTTTTGATCTGCGGCCCGCAAGGAAAAGTCCAGAGGGCGTGGTAATCGAGCAAACTGGGGCATAGTGCCAGATAATTAAAGCTACCAAGGGGCGGGGATACGCGGAGCATCTCAAGAACTGCCTGACCCGCACGCGTTCGCGGCAGCCTCCGGGCAAGCGGCACCTCCACTCAGGAGAGGGCAGGGGAGCGAAGGCGAGAGAGAAGGCAAGACGAGACGAGAGGCGAGGGGAGGGGAGGAGACCAGAGACTGCGACTGCGGCCTGCGTGGGTAATTAACGCCGCGAGGGCGGTGCAAGGGGGGGGGGGCGGAAGCCCTCACAGAACGACCTCGCAGCAGGGGCGCGCTTGGGCAAACCGAACCTAAAAAAGTCGTCCCCAGGCTCGCCCGAAGTGCGCGTGCGAGCAAACACTCCTCACGAGACGGGCCGCGCCCTGCGCGCGGATGGCCCTCGGCGGTCCTGCCTCTGCCCCGAGCAGCGCGCATGAGGAGGCCGCCTGGGCGCCCGGCCCGATCTCCATCTCGAGCGGGTTGCCGTCGCTGTCGTTGGTGGGCAGCGTCCCTGCCAGCGGCTGCTCCACGAGGGCGGTGGCGTCGCGGTGGTCCCGGGCCGTGACCTCCCGCCGCGCCCCGGAAGCTCGCGCTGCTTATCTCGATCGAACGTGGGAAGTCGTCGGAGGAGGCGCAGGAGGAGGAGGAGGAGGCGGAGGAGGAGGCGCAGGAGGAGGAGGAGGAGGAGGAGGAGGAGGAAGGAGGAGGAGGGGGAGGAGGGGGAGGAGGAGGAGGAGGAGGAGGAGGAGGAGCGGAGGAGGGAGGAGGAGGAGGAGGAGGAGGTGGAGGAGGAGGAGAGGGGAGGGAGAGGCGGCGGAGGAGGAGGAGGAGGCGGAGGAGGCGGAGGAGGAGGAGGAGGGGGAGGAGGCGTCTCTCCCCGCTCCACCAGCCTGCCCTCCCACCACGAGATCCCGCCC